GATTGTATAGGGGGCTCATGTACGCAGCCCGCCCACTCGACGCCCAACCGGCACTGCGTGCTCTTCTGGCTCGTCCCTGCGCCCACCCCCAGTGCCATCTTTCTCCCCACACCTCTTCTTCAACCACTTCCTCCACCTCTGCCGCCACTGGTGACCAAGGCGATTGGGCAGGCGCTGCTGCTGGCGATGCGCTGCAGGGCCTGTGGGACGAAGTGCTGGGCCGGTCGGGGGCCGTTTGTTACTCCCCGCCCCCACCCACCATGGCGTCACCTGCAGCACTGCCCCTCGCCGCGCTCGTGCGCCGTGAGTTCAGGTCGCGCCGGCCCGCCACCGACCAGGCACGTTACCCACCCCTTGCACCACTTTGGCACCTGCGGGCGATGTGTTGCCCTCCGAGTACGGCTATGCAACTGACACGCGCTCGAACTTGGTGGTGCGCACCAGGAATGGGAGGAGTGTACACAGCTCGGATTTGATGTACCCGCCCGTGTGTGTGTGTGTGTGTGTATGTGCGTGCGTGTATGTGCGTGCGTGCGTGCGTGCGTGCGTGCGTGCGTTGTCGTCCTGGCGATCGCACAGTTCCCGCCACACACTGACATGCACGCGCAGGCCTTGAGGGTGCTGGGCTATGTGGCGGGCGTGAGCGAGCACATGGCGGAATTGCCAGCCAAGGACCTGCGACCGCGCGTCGACCCGCGGCTGTGGGAGGGCATGTCCGCATCGCCCCGCTGTACCGTTTCTCCTTCCTCCTTCTATCGCCACGCTGGATCTCTCCCTCACAGCGCTCACTCTCGACGCGCGCGTACGCACCTCGCGCAGGGAATGTACGGCCGGGCCGAGTGCTGGTGGCCCACCCACGCACGCCGAACGAGAGCTGGCACCACGCTGTGGTGCTCCTGTTGGAGTACAGCCCGGAGCAGGGCGCGCTCGGTCTGCTCATCAACCGACCAGGTACGTGGGCTAGCCTCAGAAGTCACACTCGCGTGCCTGCGAGCGTCACGCTCACTTGGGACGGGCCTTGCGCCAAACGTGCAGAGAGTCTGCTCAAGCGATCGGGCACGGGCACACCTCCGTCCTATCGATCCTACATCGGCGGCAGCACCAAGGTAGGCCTTTTGTTGTCATTTTTTTCCATTATCCATTTTTTTTCAATAGCTCAGTTCGGTCTCGTTGAACACGCAGGGCTGGTACTGGCTCAGTCGATTCCGACTACCGGCGGCGCAGACGGCCCCGCGCTCGACGGGGAACGTTTACTACGGCTCCGGCAACAAGGGTCCCAAATGGGAGATCGAACTCGAGGTACTGCAGCGAACGCAACACGCACGGCACACGGCACACACAGCCGAGCTAAGTGGCGGACGGGGGCCGACAGAACACACGGGCAGCGGACGAAAGTGCCGTGCGGTTCTTTTGGGGCTGCGAGCGGTGGGCGCCGCGGGCCTTGGAGCGGCAGCTCGACCAGGGCATCTGGTTCCTCGCCGACGTGTCCACCGACGTTCTCTTTCCGCGCCATCCACTCTTTTCGCACCGATTCACCGAAGAACGGGTTCGTCTGTGCCGTGCTCGCGCGATCGTGTGTGTGTCATGTCTGATGCAGTTTCCTTCCAGAACGCTGCGCGGCGATCACAGTTTTGGGGCCGGCTGTTGGAGCTCATGGGTGGGCCGTACGCGCCGCTTTCTCGATTCGCGATGCTGACCGACGATGCCCACGAGCGGCTGCTTCACCGCGGCTCCGTCTGCTGCGGCGGCAACGACTTCCTCTTCCACCAACACGACAACGACTTTGCTAACGATGAAGAAGAAGAAGAAGATGTCGATGACGAGGGCCAACACTATTAGCTCACGCGCATACCATTGGCTCGGACTACTCAAGCACACAGTGTCAGACATCACAATTTTCAATGTTCGAGTGAAGATGTTGACGCCCCCAACGGCTCAGTCAGAATTTTCGACACAAACCTGGAGAACTCACCGCCGGTATTTTCCCGGAACCTGGAGCGGCCTGGCGGCCGTTGTCACATAAACCTGGGCGCCTTCAGGTGCGGCCACACCAGCAAACCAAGCTCTACCACCACCACCACCACCATCAATCGTACCTAGGTACGTTGCTAGTCCTCACTGCCTGGTTGTTGTACTAAACTGGTGGTGCCTATGGACCCGCAGCACGAATAGGCATGCACATTCCCATCATCAGCTCCATACTCCGCGAAGTCACCCGCGTCGTCGTGGCTATCGTGACCCTGCCAGTGCGTCTCTTCGGCGGCAGAAGGTCGACAGTGGCCTACTAGGCCTTCGTCACGACACGCACAGACTCTCGAGGAGTGCAGGCCTCCCAAAAACGCGTTGCAGTGCGTGTCGTGCGTGTCGTAGTGTACAACGAAACAGTGCCTTTTGCTCAACAAAAACGTTTTCCTTCCCACACTCCTGATGTAATGTTGACCACGATCACGTCTGAGCTGGCGACGAACCGGGGTGGTGGGGCATAGCGGTGCATCATCGCGCATCGGGACCAGCTGCGCAGCCGTGAGTCTGGGCAGCTGGTCGGCCGGCACAGGAAGCGAGGGCACACCTCGCCCAACGACAAGTGGTAGATAGAATACATAAGTTGAAGGAATGGAACAGGAAAGCGATTGGTGGTGCCGAGGCTTAGCCGCGGGAGGAAAAGAGGTCGGAGAGGGAGGCGCGGGCGCCTGATGCCGACGGCGAAGACGGAACGGCGGGCAGCGGCGCCGAGTTGGAGCCCTGCGCGTCTCTGGGCGAGCCGGAGGGCACTGCTCCTGGCGCAGGTCCGCTCTTTACCGAACGCCTCATCGCTGTGGATTAAAATTGCGTGGCGCAAACATGTGAGCAACGCACGCACGCGCGCGCGCACGGGGAGGCGCGGGGCGTACTCGTTTTGAGGAACTTGCGCTTGGCCTGGTGCTGGTAGGCCAACAGCGAGAGCTGAATGGTCCGGACCCACGCCTCGGCCGCCCGCGGGCCGCCCTTGACACCGAACTCGAGCTTGAGTCCCCGCCCGTGCACCGAGAATCGACCCTCGTCCCCAACCGGCGCTGTCGTCACCAATGAAGATTGGGGGGGGGAGCGTGCGGTGAGCGAGGCTCAATGCGCGCGTGTGCGTGTCGTGTCGTGCGTGTGCGCACGCGCGTGTGGGTACCGGTCGACGGGATTGAAAGCATGTTCAGCTCCTTGAGGTACACGATGTGCTCGACTTTGTGGTCGCCAGCCGGGGCCTAGATGGTGACGGCAATGAAAACACAAGAACGACGGAGATGGAGATGGAGATGGAGATGGCCTGGGCTCACGGCTTACCTGTTGGGCGGTTGGTCGGGGCGAACGGACCTGAGGAGACGAAGGCGATGCTGCACCGCGGGGCGATGTGTCCTTGTTGGGCTTCTTCTTCGGTTTGGCCATCACCAGCGCGTCCGACAGCACAAAGAGCCACAGCTTCTTGCCTGGATGGGGCCGATTGGCCACAGCGGACCCGCAAGCTTGTGAGTGACTGCACCCCCCCCCCGCCCCCCGAGCGCAGCGGGCTGGACAGGGGAAACCTTTGCTCTTTTGGTAGAACGTGACAGGGCCTTCGCCGAGCAGTCGTCGCTTTCGGCTCTGCGGCAGTGCCTGCAAGCGCGCGTACGCCCATGGCCACGAAGAGTTGACACACATCACCAAACTCACATGTGTGTCGTGTGTGTCGTATGTCGGTGTGTGTGTGTGTGTGTGGTGTGTGTCGGTGGTGTGTCGTGTGTGGTGTCCCTGAACGTACGTCCTTCTTGGAACGGTAGACGAAGTGCTTGAGGCGCACCTCGAGCTGTGCCGCGTTCTCCGCGTCCCGCTTCTGCTCGTTGATGTGCGACAGGCAATCGCGCAGGTGCTGAAGCGCAAGAGAGAGGTCCGCGTGCAGTGAAGTCTTCGGCTTGCACTGCTTGAGCAGATCCTGTCATTCATCCCCACCACAATTACGACATTGAAATCAATTAGTGCCATGCGCCTTGTGTTGTGTTGCGTTGTGTTGTGTTGTGTTGTGTGTCGTGTCGTGTCGTGTCGTGTCGTGTCGTGTCGTGTCGTGTCGTGTCGTGTCGTGTCGTGTCGTGTCGTGTCGTGTCGTGGTGTGTGTCGTGTTGCCTCGTATGTGAGTTAGTCGCAGTGCGCACCTGGAGCAACAGGGTGTACTGGGGTATCCGTTGGACCGGCATGAGGAGCAACGATTCGACATCCTGCAGTTTCATCTCGGATCGTCGCTCTCGCTGCCGCACGAACTCGGCGAATTCGGGGTTGTTGGCCTTCACCTTCTTCAGAGTGGCCGATGCCACGGTGAAGTTGTTCACGTAGAAGGGGTACAGCAGCAAAAACTTGGTCTGTACGGAACGTAATCAAACAAAAGCGATCAGCAAAAGAACGAAGAACGAAGAACGAAGAACGCGGTGTCCAATGAACGAAAGAGAGCATACGTGAAGGAGAAAGATGTCTGCGATGGTGTTGGCGCGAAAGGCGGAGAGGTTGCCCAGCCGGGTGACGAGACGCTGGAGAAAGGCCTCGTGCAGCTCCAGCAACTCGCGAATGCACGAGAAGATATCGAGCACGATCTGGGGCTCGATGATCGGTCGGCCTTCTGTCACCCTCTGCACGTGTGTGTATGTGTGTGCGTGTGTATGTGTGTGTCGTGTGTGTGTCGTGTGTGTGTCATGTGTGTGTGTGTGTGTGTGTGTGTGTGTGTGTGTGTGTGTGTGTATGGAGTGTCCTACGTTAGCCACAGCTAAGGAAAGTATGAGCAAGTGGCATGAGTTACGGCTTCGAGCGGTTCGATGAACAACTTGACCAGTAATCGCATGGAACTGATGTAGCGCGATTCCGTTTGCTCCAGCTCGCGCACGACCTTGAGGCGTTTACTCACTGCCACCTCCCCCCATCAAATGAGAATAAATTAAGAGCGAGGGAAAGAACGAAGTCGTTCTTCAGAAAACAACGTACGCTTCTGGGCGAGGAATCGTCGCACATGGGACTGCGCGCGGACCAGCTTCGCCAGGCCGGCCGCGTCCCACTGCTTGGATGGACCCGAGGCAGAGGTCGACGACGTGGATGCTGCGCGTTTGGACGACGAGCGATCGTCGTCCTCGGGCAGGATGACGGACGGGGACGTGGGGATGGGCGCGAAGGTGAAGGTGGCGATGCTCTCCCGCTTCCTCCCCTCCTCCCCGCCTCGGCTGAAAACCACCGTTCCCTCGCCATCGATCTGATCGCGACGCACACGCACACACGCACCACCGCACACGCACACACGCACGCGCACAACACCAACGTTGGTTGAAGGAAGTCCATTTTCAATCAAGCCTGCGCGCGGGGGAGACCTCGCACCTCTCTGGCTTTCTCGTTGACTTCGACAAACAACGACGCCAGCCCCTCCGGTTCTTCTGCGCACCCCCAGCAATGAGCGAGGCCGAGCAAGTGCGTGTGGTGTGTACGGCATGAAGCGGAAAGAACCTTGGCTGATGGGTTCGTTCTCGTCCTCGTCCTCGTCGCTGTCTTCGTTGCCCGAGCTG